ATCGAAAGAGCTAGAGGGAGAGGCACTTTCTAGGCTTTGAACATTTGCTCACCATATTGTAATCCTTTTTCTAAAGTTGTTGAGTTACTACAATAAATGTATTTTTTTAACCGAAACAAAGGTGTAGTCTGGTTGTAGCACGCGCGTATTAATCCCACCATTGTTTATATATAATTGAGTTGATTCCCGTGGATAATTTATGCGACAAGCGTTCATGTTGGCTCAGTGTATATTAAATTAGTTTGCGATGAATACTAAAATACAGTTCGCTTGCGTTCGTTTTGTTTCGTATGATACAGGTCTAAAAGGAAAAAGGCCAACCTGTTAATGGTTAACGCTCGATACCACAGTCTAGAAACGTTTGAAGGTTGAATTATATTGACAAAACAGAATCAATGGTTTTGTAGAATAAAAATATTTATCTTTGGTCACAGTGAATAGTTTTAAGTCGAGTACTGTTTTCGGACCGTTGACTAGTATGTTTGGAAGCTATCCGCTAAAAAATATTATTTACTGGAGTTTGTTTATTTGAAAGATAGAATAGATTCTACATGAACCAATCAGGGTGAACATAGACCGGGCAAGTCTAGGCAAGCCTATTGTTCCTATTGTAGTAGAGTGACGCTCATTAGTAAACCTATACCGAATTAGTATGCAGGAAGACACTGACTAGGCACTTAATTAGTATGCAGGAAATCCATTTTTTCTCTAGGTTATAACAATGGGTGACGACATAGACTAGACCCATATGCCTATTAATTAAGGGAATCCACTTTTTGCGAGGGAATCCAAAGGGAATCCACCAACGGGGCTTATCTTCCAACATAGTATACTACTGACATTCTGTTTACTGTACTGAATACAATCGTTGATATTAATGAAAGCAACAAAGTTTTGCAAGTAGAAATGCTATTTTCTGACTTTTTTCTGTCCCGCTGATAACCCGGTGCACATTAACTGATATTATTATTCATTCAAAATATTTCCCCAATTCTGATTGGCTATAAGCACACGCATAATTCACCATAACCAGCAACTGATGACCAAATTTGGAAGAATTTTGTGTTTAACGAGGAAATGACGTCAAAAATGTTAATGCACCGTTAACCGAGAAGGCCTGGGGACGAGGTTGAGTTGTTTTCGTTGTGAAAACTAAAATGGCGGACACTTCAATCGTTTCAAGGAGTGATGTAGCGGCTTGCCTAAGGTCTCCTCTGATTGGCTAATAGCTAATTCCTCTGTTTTAATAATTTTTATTTATATGTCTACTAATAATTGTTTTAACCTGAGATGATTTTTGCTGGTTGATTTTAATTCAAGGAGGTTAATTTTGAATTTGATTTATCCGTGCAATTCATTTTAAGAGCCGAGCACATGAATGGAAGCAAATATAGTTGGAGAACAATATGGCTTATAAGACGCACACGTTTGTTCAACGGAAACCTAGAGATGGTCGAAGAGAGTAAGCATTGCGGTACTGCCCTATACGCATATATTTTCAAAATCCGCCAACATATATATACGGCAAAATGAACCCTACAACAAAGCCTCGAAAAAGTAATTAAAATATGTCTCAGTAAGTTCTAGTTTCTGTGGATAAAGTGGCTAATTAAAATCGAGTATCGCATACGATCCTCTTAGTCTGTCCACTAAAATAAGGCCAGGACGCCAGTTTTGTGAATCCGAAGTACAGGCCTGTACGGAGTATTTTCTGGTCCGTTGAGATCTGTGAGGATGCGTGTTCGCTAATCAGAACTATTAATATATATTGTATCCATTTGAGGGGGTTTTGACTTGCATGTACGTATTCTGTAGACAAAGATGATTACACTAAGAAAAAAATCAGTTAAAAGATATCGAGGCATATATCTATGTTTTGTCAGGAGCTTCGGCGGGAGCCCGTGTGGAGATCCTGAGATCGGTCAGTACCACCTTCCCGGTTCGTCCCGCAGTTTCAACACTCGCTGAAGAAAGACTTCGATCTGTAGCTTATAGCGGCTCTGTCTTATGAAACGCAGTGACCTTTAATTATAATGCCTTGGCAAGTGACACGAGTCAATGAATATCGTAACCTCAGGCTGAGGCTGGTCTTTGAATGTCTTTGATGATTTTTTTTAAGATAACATCTGCATCTACTTTTAAAACTAGTGAAATAACTTCAAAGAGGACCCAACAAGCTCATCTCGCTTTAATACTTATCGTTTTTTTGTCGCCTTCGTCATAATGAAACCTAATCTGGTATTCCTGTGGTACTTTGCAGAAATTTTCGAGCTATCACGGGCGACTGCAATTTAACAGGGCACCTCGGCTGAGAAACAGCTTTCGACTCGATTTTGTTTCCGTAATTTTTCCGTTAGTAACGAACGCCGATACATAATCAATGCTTAACTCTAGTATAAAAGCTGAAGGCTATCCACCCAACCTGATCCAACCTCCTGCTACGCAAGCTATTCTGTTTCAGTCAGGTCTAGTGTGGCCATGTAGACACCATATGGCATTTTATATCCAAAATCAGCGTAATAAACATATCCTATGAACAGGTGGGTCTGCCGCCGCCGCCCGCCGGGCTTCCGCACTCACTACACGCTCCCCCTAGATCCGCCCCTGCTTTCTCTTCTTGCGTTCAGATTTATTTTTCCGCCTTCTAATGTTTACAGAAGACTATTCATAAAGAGGGATAGAGAGTACCAACGGTTATGGGAGTCCCGAAAAACTTGACAATGAGTTAGAGTCACTATTTAAAAGAGCTGTGTCGCTAAATTTACCCCCAAATTGAGTGAAACATAAAAAATTAACTGCTCAAAACATGAGAAAGCGGGTATAAATAACAAAGCAACAACATATGGAGTAGAGGAACGGATGGAGAAAGTTGAGAAACATTCAGACAAAAAGCGGGAAGGTTTTTATCCATTACTTCTGCACCAGAGAATATCTGTGAGATAAGGGTCTGACTTTGTCCGCGGATTAGGATTACACTTTTTCTTCCTATAAGAATACACTTTATACAGGTGTTTATAAGAATATCGAGCTGAAGAATATGTTAAGACTAAACCCCCGGCGGACACTTTGAGAAAGATAAAATTTTGTGGTTCAAAACCCGTAAATACAATACAATTATATATTTTCAACCTATTCCATTCTCCAAACGGTGAAACTTGCAACAAAATGAAACTGAAAAATTACCCTTACTATAATATATAAAACCCCAATATATTCAGTTTCTACTATAAGGTCATGGGCTTTCCTCGTCGCACTTACGAATTAAATTCAGAATAGACGCATAGAAGGTATAATTTTTGTTTTCCCTTTATTTAGCACTAAGCTAAATTAAATTAAAAAAAGTGTAACCCTACTTTTTAAGTAAGTTCATCAGCAAGTTAAAATTAGCTAAGGGCCTAATGGGGAAAGCTCTTTCGCCATGATACGGACAATGTATTTAAATTAATACATTTTCTATTATATTTGACGATGATCATACGGATGGCATTAATTGTGCATACGAAAACTATGATGTAAACTTTGCAAAATTTCCACTTCAAATCAGAAACGCATTATACTGTTGTAATCATGAAAGGGAACTTGCAAAATTTCAAATTTGAACTCTTAGGGCCTTTTTTCATGAAGGTAGGGGACCCCAGGAAGGTGAGGTAAGCCGCCTGTCCATATAATCTCTCATTTGAATTTGATTAACAATAGAAAGCAACAGGACTGAAAGTTGCAGCTAGAGCAGCAAGTGAGTGCAGAAAAGCCAAAACACGTGGTTTGCCAACATTTTTCTTGTTCACGTGTTAAACGGGTAGTAAGATTGCATGTAGAGGGGGGTTCTTTTCTAACCCCACCTAAGCGGGTTACCCCATCTACCTCGGGTCCCCCACCTCCATGTACTGTCAAACTCAGAAAAAGGTGAACGCCTGAAAATTTTCGCGCGGGCCTCCGTGATTTTCTGACCAAAGATGGGTTTGTTTGTAATGTTGCATAACACTCTGGAATCTCCTCTTTTAGATAGTCAGAACGAGCGTTAGATATATCGTTTTGCCTTACAAACAAAATTATTTATCTGCCAGCTTGTTCCACGCTTCCTTCAAGTTCTTTAAATATGTAGGTCCCTCCAAATGTCTGGGTCATGAAGACAACTTTTAAGACCTGCTTATCCCAACACCTATTATTTTTTGAAGAGGTATACAAAACTGGACTGGAGACGAGGTTTTTGAGGGGAAGTAATGTAATTTTAGGAACGTTATTAAACTTAAGGCTAGATTTCGTGAGGGTAAGTAACAGTTATGTATCTGTCAAATCGAAGCTTCAACATTCCCCCCCCAACACTATGGTCTATTCAGGTGATCAAATACCCCCACCCAAGGGACAAACCTCTCGTGCAAAGCATCGGAAGTCACTGCTAAAAGGTCACTGAATGTTCAGTTTTTCTTAGTGTGTCTTGCATCACACAGAGCGTTCTATAAAAAAAAATCCCACCTACTGAGATAATTTCATTCCATACATGCATGGTTGTATTCCTCTTACTTATTAATTACATAGGTGATTAGTGAATCCAGATGTTTTTTCATGAGACTAACTTTGTCTAGCGTGTTGACCCAAAAGTTTTGCACCTTTCTCGAGTAAACAGAAGTGAATCTAATACCAGGTCCGGAATGACTATGTTACTTCCGTTGGATTCATCATTTTTCAATGTTTCTCAGAAGTGATAACGTCACAATCGAAACCAAATTCAGAAAGGGTGGTATGAATAGAATAATCAGTTTAAATTAATGTAGATTCCACTGTTTGGAGATACTGCACATGGCACAGGCCAGCCAATTAGCAGCACTTCATGTTGATAAAGTAAATTCAGTAAATTCTAGGGAAGTTTTGTAGACAAATGTTTGTAGTTAAAATTTGTTCTCAGGTTCAACTAGAGTTTCTTTTGTCTCCTATGAATAATACTAGAGCTAGGAATGAAAGAAAATTCAGAATCAAACTAGGTTAAATATTGATTAATCTGA